TTAAATACACAATTTATGTGTAATATTTTCCTAGATTGTTGACTTTTAGATAGGAGAATTTTAGAGGTATTAATGTTCCTTTCATTTCACTTCCTCATTTCACAGATGAAAAAACAGAGAGAGGCCCAGAGAGCTTAAGTAATTAAAGTTTATACAAATAACTAGTAAATGAACCAAGTTTTGAACTATAGTATTCTAAGTTTCATTTAGAATTTAGTGTTGTATTTTAAAATTTCTGTTGATAAACTAACATAAAAATGGTGATTTAAATGTCTCAGTGATACATATAGTGATAAAAATGCCTTTTTTATGCTTTAAACTTTAATCGCAAATAATTTTTCAATTAAAATATTTTTGATGTGTTTACTTCTAATTTACAGTATACTACATGCAAAATGAAATTGTAAATTTTGGCTTATGTAATAAATAACTATAAGATAAATCACTTATCAATTAAAACATATATAATATCATGATTATGTCTATTTTCCTTATGTTTATTTCAAAATTGACTTATAAATTCCTTTGAACAATTCTTTTATTTTTACTGTAGGACATTTATTATTGTCCTGAGATTCTTCTGGTGACCTGTGAGGATAAATGTATTTGAGCCAACATAACGCTGGATAGTGACAGGGCAGTGGTGTGAGCAGAGAAGGCCCGTGTCCACCTGAACTAATAGTCACTGAGCTACATGAAAAGTCATTACTTCTCTCAACCTTAAGAGTTTCCATGGATAAGATGAAAGTGTTCAGTTAAGTGGATTAAATCTGATCTCACTTCTAGCTCTATAAAAGTGTTCAGATTTACAACTATTTTCACACTGAGTAATTTATGTAGTCCTTTCTTCTGACAAGTGGTCAGGGTCAGTGATTATCTGTCATTGTGTTTTATTCTTCAGTTTTCTTTCATCACATCTAAAAAGAGCTCTTTTATTTCTGCTAAATGAAGGCCAGATTGGACTGATTTGTTTATTTGTTACACTTAAAAACAAAAATGAATTACTAATTGCTAACAAAAAACCTTACCATACAGTAGAAGTGTGAAACTTCATGGATATATATCTTTTGTATTTTGATCTTCAGTTTTCTATATAATTGCTTTCTTTATGGCATCCCCCCAGCACAACTTTTTCTACTTTGTTTTTATTCACGTAATACCATAGCCTGAGCATTTCCTCTTGTCATGAACTCTTTACAAGTATTATTTTAAAAGTCTTCACAATATATCAGAAAACAGATGTAGAGTACTTAGACTATTTTAAAGTACCTGATGCTGAAAATACAGCTGTACACAAAGATGTTTTATTGTTGCTGGTGTTTTCTTTTATATTTCAATTGGAGAGATTCCAAGTTGTCAAAATTAGTTAGTAAAAAT